GCAATGTGTTTTTTAATTTTTAATTTTATTTCTTTTACCAGTTTATCTGGTGTTTCTATCCATTTACAGCTCTAGATATAAACAGATTTAAATTTAGAAAAAATGCGTCGAGTCATTGATCGTGTTCGAGGCTGAACTTTGTAGTCTTTTTGGCGTCTTCTGTTGGTCAAGTTGATTTTGACTGGTTGTTGTTGTTGCTGTTATTGGCTGGCAATTTCGCCATAGAGTCTAATGGAAAATTACTGGAAATCTAGTTATACGGCCGCAAAATGCAACGAGAGGCGCCCCAATGACTCGTATCATAGGCTCCACTTGGAAATTCGAGGGTTTACATTGAGAGTTTCAGATCAAGTACCTGTTGATAGGAGTGAGGTTATTTTACGATTTTTCACATAATATTATCAGCTATATAATATTATCCGATGTATAATTACGAGATATATTAATAGTTAGAGATAATCAACATTTGCCGCATACAACATATTTTCGATAAGGTCTCTCTCTCTCTCTTTCTGCCCCTTTCATAACTGAAACCTTAACTAATGTGTATTTTTCTAGCTATTTCTTGAATGAACCCACACTATCTACCCACTATGTCTATCTATCCATACGATGCGTAAGTGTGTCAAGGTTAATTCATGGCTAGCATACTCTATAAGTCATCAGCATTACAAGCTCGCTTACAATGGAACACATTCTCCAAAGCTTTTACGTGTTTTGGTTTGACATTTTTAACGACATTTTATAGCTAATAAAATGTGCTGGACTGATTGTGGAGTCAAGGGTTTGGACTAAGCTCGATGAACGTGTCTGAATACTTTTGGCTTCTCTTATCAAGCGTAAGACCCACACGTCTGTCTGCCATGGGACGACAAGTGGTCAGTAAATGTAGTTAACAAGCTGTCAACGTTTATAAATATTCGTAGTTCCCCCTACTTTGCCCGGTATGCGTTCCAAAACCGTGCGACTAATCTGGCACGAGCACCATATGACGCGAAGTGCAGTTATGGAAGCAGCTAGAAGATACCCTGGCTTGTAGAAACTGCAAGAGAGAGGGAGAGAGAAAGAGAGAGTGGGCATAGCTATAATAATGTATAGCTATAAAAGAAATTATAAATATTTAGGTTTACTGAATTTTAAAATAGTAGTACATGAAACAGAATAGCTGTACTTCTGTTTCATGTACTACTATTTTATGTACTATGAGCCAAAACATTGAAATATAGTTATCTTTATTCTTAGCTTTTTTTAGTTTTGAACCTAAGCTTACCATTAGATATTTTAGGTACACATGATCTGTATAAGTCAAGTTGTAGATGTTGTGTTTTGTAAGAATGTGAGATTAACTTAAGATTAGTTCATGATCATGATCAGAAAACTTCAATCTGACAAACATATGCAATTTACATTTTGAAATCATCCGCTGTGACATAAGCTGGAAGTTTCAAGCTGATTTAAAAAGTAAACTTTACATATTGAGAGATTTATAGGTATGAAATATATTTACAAAATGACTGAATCTCGCAAGGCGAGGAATGAGCTCAAAATATTTATATAGTTAATTAAAAATACATAAATTATTTATGAAATACTAACGACAACTATAAAAAAAACCCCATTTTTTCTGTTTCTTTTCTCTGTTCTGAAAAATATTTGCATTTATGCAAACAAAGCTCTTTCAATATTCTGCTTTAATTTATGCATTACTTCTCAAGTCTATCATACCTGGCTCTCTTGGTTTTATTGCAATATGTCTCGCATACCGTGTAAAGCTTATCGCTTGTGACGTCAAAGGTCGTTCTCTATTACTTATCTACAGCTGACAGGGTTCAAACCAACATCACCGCCACCACCAACAACAACAACGTCGAAAAAATGGTTATATTGCCAACAACAAGAGCAAGAGAAATATATATTAGCCAAATTCGCAAGCGAATCGGATTTAACCGGAAATCCAACGCTGGATGAACATGCTCAGTCGCTGTCGACGTCGCCGTCGACGTCGCTGTTGCGTCGCCAACGTTGTCGGCTGTTCGCTTTCGTTAAGAAAAAGTTGTTAACAAATTGTTGTTGTTAATGCTGGCCGGCAGCCAGGGCAAGGCTTTAAGCGTACAAAAGCCAACGCCGCACGATCAGAATAACTTTGAAGCGCGTCGCGCGCGGTCGTTCATATTGGCTGAAACTGAAAAAAAGTTAAATTCATTTTATTGGTTCGTAGGAGCGTTAACAACTTTTGCTATCAAATGTCAATTTGTGCCTAAAGTGGAACCGTGTTAACCAATTCTTCAAGCCTTAGCAAAAAGTATAAAAAGCAAAGGCACAAGCAATAGCCAAAGCATAAGCAAAACCAAGAGCTTCTACAAGTATGTGCAAATTTTAATTAAATGTACACATAACAAAATATAACAAAAATATAAAAAAAATATTTAAAATAAAAAAATTAAAATAAAAAATATGTATAAAATTGTTGCGTGTGTTTATGGGTGCAAAAAAATAATACTAATTATTTACATAACAATTTAAAATTGACATAAAAAAAATAAAGAATATTAAAAATTATATATAATATATAATTTAAAAAAAATAATAATAATAATACAATTACAAGCTAATTACAAACTAAATATGCAATAATTAAAAAATTAATTATTAAGCTTTATTATGGCTTACAACAAAATTGTGTAACAAACAGACCGCAAATGTTTAAGTTAAATGCAAGCTTTTATCACAAAAAAAAAAAACAAAAACAATTAAACTAATAAACTATGTAAAAACGAGAAATAAAAGTATTTATCTTGCAAATGAACATGCAAGGGTAGCATGACTTTATATATATCTTTCAAGTGTGACAACTCCATAAATCACCTGCAAGACAAAACTCGTTTCGCTTAGTTTTTGACCTATTAGAAGTGGATTAATGGAACGATGAGATCATAGTTAATTATTTAACTCTGTTATCAACAACACACTTCAAAGCGCAACAAAATGAGCAGAGTTTCAAGTGAAAGTACACAAAGTCCATATATAGTACACATACATACATATATCATTATTAGTAGATAATACATGGTACGTTCTCTAGGTTTCATATTCAATTCTGAACGATTCGCATTCAAGTTTTTACTTCCTGGCAGCTGATGTTTTATATGTGGTCAGCCGAGCAAGGCAAAAAGTGTGCAACGTGCTTAGCATTAATTCAACTGCCTTATAGGCAAGTTTTCAAAACAAATTGAACTGTCCTTAAGTTGCATTCAAAATAAAATATTTGACCCATAAAATGAAATATCTACGCCTACAAATTTGCGTGGGAAAATTTTATGAAATACAAAAACATCTACATCTATTATAATTTAATTAACATGCGGAAACGCGCCTTATTTAGACTCCACAGCTCTATTTGGCATTACGCATTGATGATTATTAATGATTGCTTATCGTTCATTTGACCATGAACAAAAAACGAAATCCATAACTAAGATTAAATGCAATAAATTCGAAAATTCCAATTCATGGACATTTTTATAGCCGTGCTCTATTCACATAAATTCAAAATTCACATGTAATTGCATCAAATTCAAGTGCTAAAACCAAATTGCTATGGACTAATCCACACACAAGAAAAGAAACAATAAAATTGATATTAAAAACGAGATTAGATACGCCTAGGCTGGGCGCGTGCTTCAATTCCAGGAAACATTTCCATTTTTTTCTCTCGATTTTTTTTTGTTATTGTTGATATTGGATTATTGGGCGTTATCAAAATGTCGTCCATGTTGTAGGCGGCGTTGACCCATTATAAATTGTAGCTATATCAAAATGGTGATTACTAATTTATTATAGTTCTGGACAGCAAATATTTCGCTGATAACTTTTACTTGTAGTGCCCATAGAAGGCATTTAAAATGTCAATAATTGAAATTGATTAGGTTGTAAAAGAGGGAATTTTCGATTGACAAAGTAAATCTTAAAGAATTTTTAAAAATTTTTCAATAGGGTCTTAAACGTGCGAAAAATTAAAAAGAAAATTATTAAAGAAAAAATATGAAATAAATATTAACAAAATGTTAAATTAAATTCTGTTTATTTTTAAATATATTATTCGACTTAAACATTTTATCTATCAATCAGTTTAGAGTAAATATATGAATATTTACTAATATTTTTTCGTAAATGTCTAAAATAAATCTATTGTACTTCTGTCTTCTAATCAGCTGAAGGTGGAAAACAATTCTTTCTTTAATCAAAAAAACTTTCAGTTTTAATGCAAAAGTTAAAAAAGATAAATAACAATAAAACAATATTGTAAATAAATTGTTAAAGCATGAAACGCGATGGAACGAGTCGATTTATGAAAGCTGAAACTTATTTGGAATTTGCAATTTATCTAATCACGTTTAATGCCTTGTTCTGTGTACCATATTCACACTTGGGTGTGTATGTGTGTGTGTGTGTGTGTGTGGGTATTGTTGCAGCCGTGTTCGGCATGACAAATCGCATTGAGTTGAGCCATTAAAAGAACTTGTTGCGATATGGAAAAGCTTGAGCCCGAGCGTCATAACATGTCTGCCTTATCGTCAGATGCATTGAGAGCTGTATGAGATAAGATAATCATGACCTGGACAATTCCAAGTGTTTCAATCGTTTCTAAATCATATTACAAGCAATACTTGTTATAAACAGTGATGTGGATTTAATATATTTGATTGTCTTGCAGTGTTGGCATAAATAAACTAAAAGCATTGAACAAATAAAAAAATAAAAATAAATTATTATATATATAACATTTTGCACAACGGCAGCAATTTTAATAATACGAAAAAAAGAATTAAATTTATTAAAAAATCATATTTATATAAGTAATAAATAAGAATAAATTAAATTAATGCATTAAATAATTATATTAATAAACCCAATTTAATAATATTTCTATGACAATTTAATGTACATAGAAGTTTTCATTTAATTGAATATTAATCATCATAATTAATTTATATTTGCAGTCATGTTGAAACTATGGAATGCCCTGACTCGCCGTAAAACGGACGATGTCCATGAGAGCGAATCGATGTTGGCCCGTGTGCTGAATCTCTTGGATCTGACGGCTCTCGGAGTGGGCAGCACATTGGGCCTGGGCGTCTATGTGCTGGCTGGCCAGGTGGCGTACAATATCGCGGGTCCGGCTGTGACCATATCCTTTCTGATAGCTGCCCTCGCGTCGGCATTTGCGGGCATTTGCTATGCGGAGTTTGCAGCTCGCGTGCCCAAGGCGGGCAGCGCCTACGTCTACAGCTATGTGACCATTGGCGAGTTTGTGGCCTTTACGATTGGCTGGAATCTGATATTGGAGTACGTGATTGGCACGGCGTCAGTGGCACGTGGCTTGAGCGGTTACTTTGACTCGCTGATCGATAACAACATGTCGAAGGCGCTCATCGAAGCGATGCCCATCAATGTGAGCTTCCTGGGCGACTATCCGGACTTTTTGTCCTTTGGCATGGTTCTCCTGCTCGCTGCTCTGCTGGCTTTTGGTGCCAAGGAATCCAGTTTCTTGAATAACATTTTTACCACAGTCAATTTGGTAACTATTGGAATTGTTCTCGTCGCTGGTGGCATGAATGGTGAGTGCTTTTATATTTATGAGAATTGCAAAGAGAGGCGATACGTGGAAAGTTCTCTAACATTTTCATTTTTTTCCATCTATAGCCAATCCGGACAACTGGCGCATTCCAGCCAGCGAAGTGCCTTCCTGGGCTGGCACTGGTGGGTTTATGCCGTATGGCATAGCCGGTGTCATGGCTGGAGCTGCTAAGTGCTTTTATGGATTTGTGGGCTTCGATTGTATTGCCACCACCGGCGAGGAGGCCATCAATCCCAAGCGTAACATTCCCTTGGCCATTGTGATATCGCTGATCATCATCTTTCTGGCCTACTTCGGCGTCTCCACGGTGCTGACCATGATGCTGCCATACTATCTACAGGATCCGGATGCACCATTCCCAAAGGCCTTCGATTCCGTCGAATGGTATACGATCAAATGGATTGTGACAATCGGAGCTTTGTTTGCGCTCTGCACCAGCCTGCTGGGCGCCATGTTCCCACTGCCCCGCATTCTGTATGCCATGGGCAACGATGGCATTCTGTTCAAGGGTCTGTCCAAGGTGCATCCATATACGAAGACGCCGCTGCTGGCCACAATCATCTCTGGCATATTTGCAGCCATAATGGCCATGTTGTTCAACCTGGATCAGTTGGTTGACATGATGTCCATTGGCACACTGCTCGCCTATACGATTGTGGCTATATGTGTGCTGGTGCTGCGCTACCAGGATGAGCAGATGACCAAAGTGGTCTCGATACGCGCCCCCAAAGTATTCCAGCAGTTCTTCTGCAACAGCTACAAGGTACCCAATACTATGACCTCGGCCATTACCAAATTCGGCATCGTGATCTTTGCCATCTTCTGCATCATCTGGTGCATCTTCATGCAGGTCTTCGACACAGATCAAACTGGTCGCATTGTTAGCCTGAGTGTTGTCGGCTTACTGCTCATTATAATTTGCATTGTGATCGCCCTGCAGCCGGTGTCCACGATTGAACTGACGTTCAAGGTGCCGCTGGTGCCGTTTGTGCCCTGCCTGAGCGTCTTTGTCAATTTGTATTTGATGTTCCAGCTGGACTTGTTCACGTGGATACGCTTCATCATCTGGATAGCCGTTGGCTATTGCATATACTTTATCTACGGCATTCGCAACTCAACGCAAATCTCGAGAAATCGCAATCATGCCGAGGTGGCCGCCAATGCATTGCAAAACTCTCTCCAAGAGCATGAGAATCGAGCCTTCGAGCCGGACTGGAAGGTGGAGAACGGCATTAAGCCGCAGTACGAGTATTCGGAAAAGCTATAAAACGATCTAGGGAACTCGAACGTGTATAGCTGAGCAAGTATTATAAGTTGCATTATAGCTTAAGGCTGTGCCCCATAGCTGAATAACAAATGAGCTGATATTATTATTATATAATATTATATTCCTTACCCATTTTAAATCAGGGAAAAGTATTTGAATTCTCTAAATTTTATTGAGCAGGCCTTAGTAGCTTTGTTGGTGTATATTATTTAAATTAATATTTCATATTCGAAATACCCAAAAAAAAAAAAAAAATAGTTTTATAAAGTATGATTGCGGTGTTATATATCAAAGTTTAAGTTATTTGAAATTGAAGCCCAGTAAGAAATTAAGAAACATAATTTTTATTTTATTTTTTAATTATATAGCTAAAATTTCCTGTTAGTTAATTTCTGAAAAATTATTTGAAATTTTGAAGCCTATTAGACTCTCTACTAAATATTTTCATTAATAAATCTATTTTTTTTTTTATAATATAATAGCTTATATCTTAATAGCTACATAATTTCTTAAAAGTAATTTTAAAAAATTATTAAACAAAAAAATAATAATGATAATTACGACTTTTCAAATTTATATACATAATATTCATATATATATACTATCTGCTCATTTGTTAGTCAGCTGTGAAAACAGGTTTTCAAAGTTTTTAGTTTATACAATTTTCGAGCCCGTAGTAAACCCCACTTATCTTGCTTGTAACTTCAATTATACTCTGAGTTTAACTTGCATGTGTTTGTGAGAGAGATGAATAGATTGCGCATAAAAATTAAATGAATAACCCATTAGACAGTAGAACTCACGCCTTCCAGAGACCTTATAGAGTTCTCTTGGGGTTTTTTGTTATTTTTATGCGCCAGAAATTTAGACACACACGACTTCCTATTGGCCGCTCAATGCGAGATTTTTAATATTAATATTTTATTTTATTTTGTTTTTCATTTATTGATCATGTTCTTAATTTGTTTCTTATATAAATTTTGCTGCCTTTTGATTTCTGTACATAATGCCCCGAAATGTTGTGATATTTCTAAATATATATATATGTACATATATAGAGTTTTAAAATGTTCGCATATATTGATATATATTTGTGTCACAATTCTTGTTGTCGTTATGTAAATGCAGTTTGTAATGTAATTTAAAATATTTTCATAGATTTGTATGCAATCTTACAATCCTAAGCTAGTACTGTATTTATGTTATTTAGCCAATAAGTCAATGCTCCCGCCCTACCCCCTACCGAACCCAACCATGTACTAAGTTCAAAGAACGAGAAACGAATTTGCCCCCACATTAAATATTTTATTAAATAAAACAAAATGTTGAATGAATAATGCAAACATGTTTTCGTATTGGTTCTGAATATACAAAAAAATTAATGGAAGCACTAATCTGATCAAGTGTTACGTATTCTTATTGGATTTCAGAGTTTATTGAAGGTTAAATCTAATCAAGTATTATATAAATAGCTGTAGCATTTGGGTTTTGTGTTTTTACCCCCCATGGATTACTCTCTTGATAAACATACGTTAAGAGGGAATATTACTTTAATGACAGACTTAAGATAGCATCTATGATCACATCATTTACAACTTTTATGCCAAGTCAATATAGCCTAGGTTTTCTTGTTTGATTTATATTTTAAATTTAAAAATTATATGACGTATAAATTAATTTTACATAGGTTTGATTATTTATAAATGATGAGCTGTTACAAGTTAATTCAACGCTAAAGAATAACGACTAAAGCAAGAAATTAAAAAAGGAATTTCGAAGCGTGAGCATATTGAATCGTAGCTGTGATGCAGGGTATCTGCTAGTTAGTCAAGTATCTTGTTCTTTTCTTAGCCTATCTAATCTCTTAGATTCAACATACCATCAGTCGAAACCTGTGTAGAAAAAAGATAAAGAACTGATTTCTAGAGCTTGATCAAATATTTTACTTTGCTAAACGTAAATATATTTCTTTTATATAGCTGAGATAAAGCCTAACTGAGGCTCAGATAAATTTGATTTGATTGCCAAATTTGCGGTTAAGGAAATTTACAATGTCGATATGTGAGCGTATGAAGAAAGGACGCAGGGTACCTCCCGATGATATCGATGACTCCAAGCGTTACTTGGATATCTACAAACTGATTGCGTTGGGCTTGGGCGGCACTTTGGGTCAGGGCATTTATGTGCTGACCGGACAGGTGGCTCGCGAGCTAGCTGGGCCGGCAGTGACCCTGTGCGTTTTCATTGCGGCAGTGGTGTCGATGCTTGGCGGCATCTGTTATGCGGATCTATCCTCGCGAGTGCCGCGTCCCGGCAGTGCCTACATCTACAGCTATATGATCATGGGCGAGTTTGTCGCCTTCACCGTCGGCTGGAGCATGATACTGGAGTATATGACGAGCACGGCGTCAGCGGCACACAGCCTCGCTGCCTATCTGGATGCCCTATTGGATCAGAGGCTATCGCGGGCATTCCAAAGTGTATTAACTATGAATAGCAAGTACACGTTAGGCTATCCGGATTTTCTGGCCTTGGGTCTGATCCTGTTGTCTGCATGTGTGATTGCCTTCGGCATCAAAAAGTCGTTCTGGCTGAATCTGAGCTTCATTGCCGTCAATCTGATAACCATTTCCCTAGTCTTTATCAATGGCACCACAATATGTATATACACCAAATATTAGCTAAACATTCAACTCAGTCGACTTCCTTCATTAGCCAAAATACAAAACTGGTCTCTCAAATCAAAGGACGTGGAGGAAGACATAGGTGTCGGCGGCTACTTTCCATATCCCATTGCAAAGATGTTCAAGGGCGTGGCTATTTGCTTTTTCGGGTTCGTTGGATTCGATTGCATCACCTCGACGGCCGGCGAGGCCATCAATCCCACTCATAACATACCCATGGCCATTTTTGCCACGATGCTAATGGTATTCTGTACCTACTCTCTGATGAGCACCATACTAACTCTAATGGTACCCTATTATCTCATCAATCCGATAACCCCGTTGGCATCCGCCTTTCAATACCATAAAATGTACCATGTGCATACGTTCGTCACAGTTGGCTCTGTGCTCGCATTGTGTGCATCCCTGCTGAACTCCATGTTCCCGCTGCAGCGCATCCTTCGTGCCATGGCCCAAGATGGCTTCATGCTCAAGGGCTATGCCAGCGTGAAAGGCTGGACAAAGTCTTCTATGTTGGCCACCTTTTTCTTGACCAGCATTGCGGGTAAGTTGATTGAACTTTCTATAATTATATTTATAATACAATTATATTTGGGATTCCCTAGCCGTTGGTACGCTGGTCCTCCATTTCACCTTCTCGATACAGCTCTCCATTATTGGCGTCTTGCTGGACTATACCATCGTGGCCATTGGCGTTGTTATGCTGCATTACAAGAACGATCGCAAGAATGAGAATGAGGCCGTGGAGGAAATCAACTTCAAAGTGGTGATGCGTCAGATTTGCAGTGGACGACATGGCAAGAAAGCGAATACAGTGTCTAACTACATTACGCGTTTATTTCTAATCATTTTTATCGTCGTCTCTGTGCTCTTCTGCTTGGCCTTCAAGTGCTTTACCATCACTCATCAGCTGTGGGCCATTGTGCTGGCCACCTGTTTCGCCGTGTTGAACATCGTCTGCGTTATCATAATTGGCATACAGCCACAGTCAAGCGCCTTGCCGCCATTCAAAACGCCTCTTGTGCCGTTCATACCCTGCGTCAGCATTTGGATTAATATTTTTCTGGTATCCACATTGTCGTGGCTGTGCCTTGTGCTTTATTTGATCTGGATGATAGTCGGCTATGTCGTATATTTCGGTGTAATTACCGTAGATTTTTTAGAGAAAAGGATCACCAGCAAACTGGCTAAGCAGATGATTGACAGCTTCAAATTTCTGGTGTGAAATATATGTGCTTTCTTATTTTTGTACACAATATGTATAATAAAATTCAAAAATAACGCTATTAGCTTGATGACTACAGTCGACTCCAAATAGTTGGCTAACCAGCTTAGTTAGATGGCAAATAAGCTGGCTTTGTGCACCCACGAGTCTCGACTCTCGACTCTCGAGTCTCGGCTCACGGCCCTCAGCCTTCGCTTTTATAACGCAGTTGGGTAAATAATACAGAGGCAAGTCAAAAACACAGACTCGAGCTGAAAAGCCAGATGAAAGTTGCTGGGATAATGCCAACACCAACACCAACACCAACATACATAAGCACACACACAAGCGAACTTGCTCATGTGAGCCAAAGGAGTACGGTCAACAAAGCCTCACTGAGAAAATAAAATCGTTTTTGTGTATCTTTCTTTAGACACGCTTTCCACTGGCCATTTGTTTTTTCTTTTTTTGGTTGTCGGACTCATTTATACATTTCTCTGATGCTGCGCCCTTAAAGTAACCGCTGGCGACCGTTACATTTCTTGCAGTGTATTCCCTTTTGACTTTCTGTAGCATTTATTGTGCTCACATCTGCGTATGAATGCAATTTTTCACACGCTGTCATTTAGCGAAGCTGCCTTTTATTTCTGGCAAGATTAACGCTCTTTGCTCTGAGCAGCTTAGTTTCAATGAGAGAAAGAGTTTGGGCAAAATAATATAATTTTCAATTAACCGAAATTTTTCTTTGTGCTGGTGATTTATACAAAAATAAATAAATCGTATAAAAATATATATATATTGACCAGTTTATTCATGTAAAAAAATAGTCTAGTAGTCAGTCCAATATTAATTTTAAACTGTTTGCCCTTCGGCCAGCATGACGTATGCGCAATGCCAATGCGGCCGCCTCAAATTACAATAAGCGCTCAAAAGTATGCAATGCAGTTCGTTTCACGCAAGCGATCAAATAATAAAATTGGCAGCCTAAAAGCAGGCAACGCAAAATCAACAATTCGATAGCCAATTGCTGCATGATGCTCTAACTTGAAAGAGAATGTCAAAAAATGCATGTGAAATGCTAATATTTAACATTCAACAAAAGCATTAAAAGAACAGCTTATTGTGTATAAGACTTTTTTGTATAAGAGCTGCAAAATGCTACTAAGTTGTTTTATTTTTATTTTGAGCGGTTGTTTAGTAAAAAGGTGAGAGTATTTGCTGGGTTCAAGTGTTAGGTAAGCCTCGCCAAACAAAACGCTTTAGAAGACCACACACACACACGCACAGGCGCACTCGCACACCACAAACAAGCACACACACATGCGCATACAGTGGGCAAAAGAGATAGGCAAATGCAAATGCAAATACAAATACTTATACGCGTGACTGTAGCTGTAAATAAATAAACAATAATTTGAGCCACGTTTATGTATACATGTGTGTGCGCATGTGTGTGTGTGTGTGTGTTTGTGTGCCAGCATAAAATGTAATGCAAACGGTATTGGTAGAGAGGCAAGCGGCTCAACATGAGAAGCGGCTTGGAGCGCTTGGCGCGTTGCGGTTTCATTTGTGAGTTTTAATTAAATACGTTTAAATATTTGTTATTTCCGACAGGCAGACAAACCAAACGACCATCAACAACAACAAAAACAGCAACAACAATAATAATAGCAACAGCAACAGCAACGGTGAGCTTCAGCAACAGCCACCTGGCAAATATTAGCGAAAAATTAGCAAAGTATTTTAAGCGCAACATGTTCGTCCTGTGGTTTTTCAGCGTCAAATCCTCTCTGGCCGTGCATCCATTCTCCTGCGGCACTCAACTCCCATCATGCACATCATTTTGTGTGCTCGTTGCGTGTGCATTTCATTTATTTATAAATAACGCATAATTAATTTAAAATGCGTGCCTGAAATTGTCGTTAAGTGCTTAATCCTGTAACATGCTACGGCTACGGCTACGGCTATGGCTACGGCTACGGCACTAGCGTATCAAATAAAGAGCAACAACAAAAAAATAAAACAATATTGACGATTTTCAGCAACTGTTTGGAAATTCAATTCGAAAACAATCCAGCTGCATTAGCATTTCTAATACACCAATTATACGGACATTGCAAATATTTGTAACTGAATGGAATTTTTGATATATTGCAGGAATTTCGTTTAGAACTATAAAAGATTTTGTATGAATTATAGGATAAACTGGAAAATTACTAAGCATTGTTATTGGCATTTAAGTCTTTCAACTGATAAAGAAATTAATAAATAAATTTGAAACATACATTTTACTGAAAAATTAAATATAAACGAAATATTAAAAATGTTATTAAAGAAATTTAAAATAATAATAAGTTAAATAAATTTTTAATTGTAATACAGAACTTAATAAAATATATAATTATTATAAAATATATAAATATTATCCTTAAGTATAGCAGGGCAACAAAATTTAGTACCCTAGAATTAGATTATTTTATCCTTATGTAGACAAAAAATATTGTTATTAAAATTATTATTACTATTATTTATAAATATTTAATTATGGATTTAATATAATATACTTCCATTTCAGTTTCTATTTCTGCTGTCAATAACTTATAAACTTGAAGCATTTATTTAAAACAAATTCCCTCGTCAGCTCACAGAAGCCCTAACTCCGAACTCATCTTTAGGCCACAATAATGTTCGAAACAACTTCTGAAACCTGCGAAAAATTTGCTAACGATTATCGCCTAACTATTGCGGACCACGCCCGCAGAGCCAAAGCCGCTCTCACTCTCTCCCTCTTTCTAACTGTTTAGTGTCCATGCTCAAAGTCAAAAAGTTTGCAAATTTAACATGCGGTCAACGAAATGAAATTAACTTTTGGCGCGAATGAAATGATGCTGACCACAGCCCGAAATAGGCTTTCTTTTTTTCAAATTTTAATTGGAAAAATATGTGAAGCTGACTAGGAAAACGAATGCCTGGGGGCTAGACTCTATAAATACCCGAATAATAGGTCGATCTGCATCAATTAAGAACATAATCCGCGCATTATTCGAATAGTATATAAATATTATTTGACAGCGACCCGAACAGCAAAAACTGTCGTCGAGTGGTTAACTGCTGCAGAAGTGGAGAGCGGGCGCAGTGATGCAAGGGGCGTGGCATGACGTGGCTTGTGCAGCAATCCAGGCTGGGGATTAAGGGACCATTATGTGAACATTTTCAACATATGCTAAACGAGCGGAATAAAAAAGACGACAACAACTTTTGAACCATGTCATGTGGCGGGTCTTAATGATGTCGCTGATGAGGACAGCGGATGCGGATGCGGATGAGGATGCGGATGTTTTTCCGCTGGGAATGGGCAGCAGCTGATGATAATGTTGATGACAGGTGCTGCATAACATTTATGAACTGCAAGGACACACCAGCCAAAAGCCCGCTTGAATAGCTGTGATTAAAATGTGGGGAAATTGATTTTACTTGTGACTAAACAGATTAGAAAGCAGAAGCAATAAAAATTTGAATTTGAATTTATAGAAATTTATAGAAGTATATCATATTGTTATTTTGCTTTTACGGAAATTAAATGAAATTATTGTTCGATATTAAAAAGTAATAAAATCTGCTTCAAATCTACTACCTAAATCTACTACTAATATCTACTACTACTATCGACTATTAATATCTCTTAGTAATATCTACTACTACCATTTAATACTAATATCTACTACGACTATATACTAATAATACTACTACTACTAATATCTATTAGTAATATCTACTACGACTATTTACTAATACTACTACTACTACTAATATCTATTATTAATATCTACTACTACTAACTACTACTACTATCTATTATTAATATCTATTAGTAATATCTACTACGAATATCCACTACTACTATCTACTACTAATACTACTCTACTAATATCTATTACAAATATCTACTAGATAGTAGATATCTGCTAATACTACCTACAATTGTTATCTACTATAGCTATCGATTACTACTATTTATGAGTGAGTTCTACTACTATTATCAACTATGTAATACTATCTATTACTGTATCTATCTTATTTATTATCTACTACTATTACCTTTTACTAGCTACTCTTCTCTACTTCCCACTTTTACTACCTACAATTGTTATCTACTATAGCTATCGATTACTACTATTTATGAGTGAGTTCTACTACTATTATCAACTGTGTAATACTATCTATTACTGTATCTATCTTATCTATAATCTACTACTATGTACCTTGTACTAGCTACTCTTCTCTACTTCCCACTTTTATCTATATCTACTATCTACTATTCACTCCTCTTTACTACACCTATATGCATATTATGCTACTTTCTACTGCTATTACTACTATTACTATTATTAGTAGACTCCCATACCTTTGTATTTTTTGCTAAACTTTCTATCTTTTGTCATGCAAATATATATCATATATTATACACTCCTAACTAGACTGGCCAAATGTTTTGCATTTGTTTTTGATTAGCCATGCACAACTTCCATTGCATGCAAGCATTGTCCATGGAAAACCATTTGATGTCCTTTTGATCTTTTCATTACGGTCAACAGAATATACATACTATAATCATAGTTGGCCCTGTCCGCCGTTGCCTATTTTTGTTGTCATTGTTGAAAGGTGCCAGCTGTGCAACAGTGCGTATGATGAATTTGGTTAAATGCCTCAATGCGCGACTCTGCCTCCACAAAACCAGAAAAGCATTTCAGCAATGTGTAGGCCACACAGATACACACACACACACACCTACATATTTACACATTCCTATTTACCCTTGTTAAATATTATTTAGCTTGTTTATTTTGTCAGCCGCCTGCCGTGCATAAATAAATATAAATTGCAAACCATTTTTATGCGTTTATATATTTAGTCACATCAAATGCAATTAGCGCGCGTTCAGCTAGCCCAAAAGTTGGCAGCTTAATTGCCAGTCAGAATAATAGATTCGAAAATATTTGTTACAACATAAAAAGGGATTCACCGAGAGGAATATATAATATGTGACAGTCTTTCTCCTTTCGCTATGCTAACTCTCTCTATATATAGGCTCCCTTCTAATTGGATATGTTGACCGCGTGAAAACTCAATTTACTTGTAGCTTGGCTGGACAAATTTGGGTTTCGGCCATGTCAAATGCCATCAATTTGGCCAACAATATTCACGGCAATTAACAAATTAATTGCCTACTTTGAGGTTGCACTTGAAGCCAGCACACACACAGACATACGCACACAGAGCCCACACACATACTTGGCAGGGCAGGCTTTGCTGGTTAAGCTAATTCCCAATGGCATCTTAGTTTTATGGCCAACACACAAACACATCAGCGACAACAACAACAACAATGTAACCAGAACGCAAATGCTGAAACGCTAATGAAATTTCCAAGCTGAGCTGCATAGCTGCCCAGGGAGTACAACTTCTGCCCGGTAGGTGGCGTATTTGCAAAGCTTTTAATATAATGACACATTATCATGGCAGCGAGTCAAAGACACACGAGACGACGCACAAACACACACAAGCACACACACACATACCCACACATGTACAGATAGACAGGCAGACAGCATACTCACACACAGTGACAATTGAGGGCACGCATAAGCGGATAAGTTTGGCCTTGTGTGCGAGCGAGACAGCGTATCGGAGCTATGAGCTTGGGAGAGAGAGAGAGATAGTCAGCAGATCTGGTTACTGCAATTGTGTTTGCTGTTGCCTACCCTTTACACAGGTTGTGTAAGCTGATGCATTGATAACGGCAACTGCTAGAGGTACACAGATTGAAAGTAGTTTCTCATTTGCTTGAAATATATCGCATGCCCGTGTGCCGTGTGCATGTAAACGCATTGCAAACGACAACAGCTAAGAGAGTAGTTCATATTGGCTCAGAATATATCGTATGTTGAGTTTCGGAGACCGTATGGAAGGAGAATGGATAGACTGGATGCTTAAAATACTTCAGAATATTGTAAGTCGAATATTGTAAGTCGAATATCGTAAGTCGAATATCGTAAGTCAAATATCGTAAGTCGAATATCGTATGTATAATGCTATTTGTCGAATATCGTAGGTAGAATATTACATGCCGAATATCGTATGTAGAATATCATGTGTAGAATATTATATGCCGAATATCGCATGGCGAATATCGTATATAAATATCGAAAAGCTATGTTACCAACTTACTGAATAGCACACTCTCGTTTGCTTAAATTATATTTTATATCGTATATCGTATTTATATTGCAATAATTTCAGTTTTAATCGACTTTTATATGATAAATATTTAATTGTATTTACTTATTTTCATAAAATTTATTATTTGTGTTCACAATATGTTTCCATAACGGTAAATCCCCCACACTTTTTTTTTATTTATTTAATTAACGTAATTTATTTATGCATAAATTCTATTAGAAGAATATCAAAAGCCAGACTAATTATATTAAAATGTTATTAAGTAAATAATTAATTATTGTAAAAAAGTGCAATATTTTGAGTATTAATGTCTGGCAATTGTAATAAATATATCGAGATTAGTGCGCAATGTTTTTTCAATATATCAAAAACTCGTTTTTTGCCGCATATTTACATTGATGTCTGCATCGCTCAGCCATATAGTCAGAATATAGCCGTCGGTCTATTTGAAATGGATTTACTGTCGATTTATTACTGCCGTTGTATTTGTTATTGTTCATGTTGCTGTTGCTGCTGTTGCTGCTGTTGCTGATATTACGCATACGTCCTGTGTGACGGCCTATTTGGCTGCAACAACTTCCACGTTTGCAAAATGCGATTTAAATGCTTTCCTCCACACCCCTCGCCACACGCCCCCCTCTCCCTCCAAAAAAAAGATGGGACTGCAAACAAACAAGTAAACGTTGCTGCTGCTGCTCCTCTATCACACGATGCATTTCATAAAATATGCAACAGCAGCAACGCTTGTTGCAACAATGACAGTATCAGCAGCAGCAACAGCAACAATTACAACAACAACAACAACAGGAACAGAAATTGCCAGCGCATCCATTTAATTTCATTTTAATGCACAGCATATCCTGGCAAAGGTGTAGTACCTCTGCCACGTCTCCCTACTCCAGCATCTCCCCTCTCCCCTCTCCTCCCTCCTCTCTCCCCTCGCTACCTTTTAGCCATTGTCCTTATGCAGCGTGTAAACAATTTTGCCTTATCAAACAATCGAAACACTGCTCGGCAGTGGGCGTGGCCAATTAAATGACTCTGGCACTGTTTAATGCATAACTCTTGGCCAGCTGCATATTATTGCATTTACTGCAATTGTGTCTGTTGTTTTTGTTGCTGCTGTTGCTGCTTTTGTTGTTGTTTTTTATTATTTTTTTTTATAATTACTGTCATTTGTATTTGCGCGCTGTCTGTGTTTGCCAAGTGTTGATCGCATTTTTATATGCACTTGAAATGAATTAATGCCGGACAGTGTAGCACACAGTGTAACATAAATTGGGTCTAAGCAGCTTCCACAAAAAAAAAGGGTTTGTAAATTATTAATGAGAAAACAGGTGAACAAATGTAATGAAATGAGTGCGAGTCGATGAAAGCGACAAATGGAAAGTAGAGGGAAGCACATACGGTAATATTTGATTGGAAACGTATTTTTGGGTGGTTTTTGGATTACAATTTTAAATGATACTAGTAAAAAGTTGGAATTCCTAGGGAGTTTTTATGTTTTACAGGCAAAATATATTTTATCTTTAATGGGAAAGATATGAATATGGGTATATATTTTAGCATACCTAAATATTTTAAAAATATATTGGGATATTCAAGATAAAGATCTAACAGTAAATATAAGCATTACGATTTTTACATATTTTTTTTTTTTACATATATGATAAATTTTATAATTATCATAATTTGGAATCAGCCAAAAGCACATTTCCATACAATCTTTTGCATCTTCAACTGGAAAAGCTAAAATGGTATAAAATATAGCTACATATATAATTTATATAAACAATTTTTAATATAGAAACATAAATGTTTATATTTAGGTAAGCGTATGATTCCATTTACTTTTAAAATTTCTAGAGCAGTCAACATGGTATGATCTATTGACATCAATCAAATATATTCTTAAGTAATTTCTAATAGGATGCAAAACCTACTACATCTTCGATTTTTTGCTTCTACTCCACTTGAGACCAAATATAATTGTGAATAATAGCTTTAAAAATAAATCGCAATTTGGCCAAAAATAGCCAAAAGAGACTTCAATGTTTAATTTTGGCAAATGCTTCAGAACAGACTTCCAGCAAAAAAACACAATAAAAGTCAGTGTAATAAGCATTTTAAGATGTATTTAAATTATAACTAAATGATAATAGCTCAATAGTAATTACATAATAATGCGCAGCACAAAATGATATAATAATACGCATAATAATGCTCTGTTAATAGCTTCAAGTGCTGCGCACAAAGCAGGAAACAAAATCGATGAAAAGCTAGCAGAAAATAAAAAATAAAAATTAAAAAGAATTAAAATTCAAATATGAAATCTGTAGCAATCTCCAAGGTCAGAGAACGTTTCAAGCGTTCTAGCGAGGTACTCGAGCGAAGAGGTTCTTGAGTGCGTGTGCTAAAAAGCTGTTAAGAATTGTGGAAAAAATTAACTATGAAAATAGATCAGCATATTATTAACAAATCAACAAATTTATGAAACGTAATCTGTATCCATTGTAAGCGGAACTCTAAACGGTAGCCAATCTATATTGCCAGCAATTGTAATGAAAAAACGTTTCATTTCAAGAGACGAACAAAAATCGTTCCACTTCACATGCAAAAACCTGATCCAAAAATAATTGTGCTCAAGTGCGTGGCCAACTAAGAGTTGAAGGCGGACGTTCGTTCAGTCGAACGAGAGGCGATGCTTGGTGGTTGTTGGTGGTTCGTCATAGCCACATTATCAAGTGGTTAATAGAGCCAAAGACGGGCTGTCGTCATCTCCAGCTCTTTGGCTCTTGTTTTATTTATTTGTTTTTTGTTTTTTTATTGATGCGCACTTGACTTGGCTCTACATTTAATTTGTTTAATTGATTTTTTTATTTCAATTATTATTTTTGAGACTGTTAATGAAAACCAGATTTGAGCTACGGATGTTCCAAATCCAACAATTTTCGCTATAAATACGCTTTGCAAATTGGACCAAGGCATCATTGGGTTCAATACCTACGACACAGTAACATCTTCAGTCCAGTTCGCCTAGTTCGCTTTGTGCTAAAGAACTAAACTTACAGCATGGTGAGTGTACTAAAGAGTGTGCAGAAACGATTTGGTACAAATGTACTAAAATTTTAATATACTTTTGAGTATATGCTAAACAGTTCTAAATATGTTTAGCCTACATGTACTAAAGATGTACTAACATGTGCTAATTTTTTATAACATGTAAGCAAAGTGTCTTGCAATTTACTAGTACTTGTGTGCTTGTAAAAAAAGCTCTAAATATTTTTTAGAACACATGTTTTTAGTTCTTAGTAATTATAAATTGAAAGTCATTGAACATCTTTAAATGTTTTTATTTTAAATTAAATTATTTATTATATTTACTCTCTGCTCCCATAGAAACTTTTTGTCGCCGCACTCACCCTCTGCCTGGTGGCCTTTGCCGCTGCTCAATCCGCCGATCCCGCTGTGCAGGATCCCTCGGTGGAGTATCTGCCACCCGTTGGCGATGCTGAGGCCGCTGCCCTGTCGGAGGATGGCTATCGGTATAAGACGGTGCGTCGCCTGAAGCTGCGCCATCGCCGCGAGGTACCCAGCCAGGAGTATCTGCCACCCACTCAGGAGTATCTGCCACCTTTGGAGGGCGAGGCTGTCGACACTAAGGTCGCCGATGATGGCTACCGCTACAAGACCGTGCGCAAGCTCAAGTTCCGTGCCCGCCATCGTCGCGATGTCTCCGAGATCGCCGAACCCTCCAGCGAATATCTGCCCCCTGTTGATGTGGAGCTGGCCCCCGAGCTGAAGACCGTCCTGGGCGCTGATGGCTACCGCTACAAGACCGTGCGCAAGCTCAAGTTCCGTCGCCATCGTCGTGAGGCTGAGGCCGAGGAAGCTGCCGCCGTTGAGGCCAACAACGAGTACCTGCCCCCCGCTGAGACACCAGCTGCCGATGCTGCTGAGGTCAAGGCTGCCGATGTGCCCGCCGAGGGTACCGAGGTTGGCCAGGATGGCTACCGCTACAAGACCGTCCGTCGCATCCGTTACCGTTATCGCCATTAAGCTGCCGCTGCTCAATTCCCGAACTTAGGCATATTGAACCAAATTGATCCTGATAGTACACAGAGTGTGCCAGCCAAGCAATGTAGAAGTTTCCCTCACAGTTAGTTTCCAATTGCTTGGCCAACATTCGCTACGAACTTTTGCCTTTTATTAATTAATTGCCTTTTAGAATTTTTTGTCCCTTTAAATCCCTCAAAAGCATATCGAATAATAAAGTTTATTCACGAAAAAAGAAAATTTGTTTAATTATTGGAGATGCATTGAAACATGAATGCTATTCATACATAACCAGGAGAAACAGCAAAAACAGGGTAAATAATACATATAAACATGTTTATTAATTTAAATATGAATACTATTAATACATACCCATCATGCATAGATGCACTATTTTTTGGTGAATAATCGCCCCACTTTTCACTGAAAAATAAGAAAATGAATTTTATATTAGTTGAAGAAGTAGAAAAAAAAAAAACGATAAAATAATATATATGTATTTATATTAAATCATTCATTTATTAATTTTTACATTTATTTACTAATATATTCAATCACATTCCTTAATGATTCATTCATTCATTTAGTCAGTCATTCACATATCAATTGAATTATTTATTTAATTGCTCATACCTTAATTAAATTATTAATTTATTCATTCAGTAATTAATTATTTAGACAGTTTTTTTTATCAATTCAAAATAATATAACCAGTGCAGTCACTATTTATTATTTATTCAGCTATTCATATATTTATACGTTCCACATTCAATTCAAACAACATTCCTACATCTGTAGATTTCTATGTCTAGAAAACATCTTCAATAAATTTGCATGGCATTTGAACTAGATCCAATTTGACGGCCCTTAAAGACTTTTTTTTTTGGCCTGCTCTATCATCCATTAATGTAATCATCATCAACGTTATGAACCTTATTGCCGTTGAGTTGTCTCTATTTGTGGTACCGAAAAATCAAATCAAAATCAAGTTCTTTGGCAAATTGCGCATTAAAATGGCAGCCAAAGAGGCCAAGAAATAAATACGGCTAAAAAAGGAGAGAAAATATACGTGCATACAAAGGAAGCCAATAAGCAAAACTAAGAAGAAGAAAAAATTGGTATTGAAATCAATGGACAAGTGATGGCCAACGAGAAGAGAGAATCAAACTGTGAGCAGCGAGCAGCAAAAGCGAGAAGCGAAACTCTCGCTCGAAAAAACTTTTTGCAAATTGCAAAATTCTATTTAGAAATGAAGTGTTTGCTTTTAGGCGCAGCAGCAGCAGCAGCAGTGGCAGCTTCGTTGAGCTGGCAAAGTGCAACGACTCAACGAGGGCCTTGGCTTCCTGGCGCCCTTTCCCCCAACTCCCAGACCCGCTGAAGCGTCTTTCGTTGGTTTTCGGTCAACTTTTCGTAATATTATTTTGCATTTATTTGCACAGCGTTCGCATTTCTTTGTTTTCTTTCATTGCTTTTGCTCAAAAAATAATAAAAAAGTAGAAATGTACGTCGAATTACAAGATGGCAGACGGTCCACAGCATACCTCTGTCGGCCGTCTCTCTCTCCCTCTCTCTACTGGCCAAGTAACGTAATTGGGCGCTTGACTTTATGAAGCAGCGGCTTGAAAAGGTTGAACAACCAAAAAACTTTAAAAGTTTCTGTGAATCTGAATTTTACAAATGGAATTACCTAATTTTTAATCATAATCTGATAAGCTGTTTAGAATAAACTAAAATTTTGAGGTGGAAAAATATTAAAGAATATTAATACATATAAAATACTTTATAAAGCTATTGGCTTGATTTATGGTATTATAAATTATTCAATTTATTTTAAAATTTGACAAAATTAATGTTGCAAATTTTAATTTGAAAAAATTGTATTTTTATAATTTAAATAAAATTAATATAGATAGTTTTTTTTTTTTTTAATAAAATTATAAGTTAATAAATTTTAAATAATAAATTTAATAAATAATAATTAAATAATTGTATTTTATATGTACGTTTTTAAATTATTTTTTTTAAATAAATGAATTTTTAATAATTATACAAAATATTTTTTTATTTTTTATATAAAAAAAAGAGTTTAGTAAAAATATAAATAATGCAGAACTATTTAATCCATATTCAAAAACTTAAATACCACGATAATATAAATGTCATATAATAGTGAAGCAGCTTAAATTTCCAATCAGATTCGATTATAACTGATAAGAATTACGTTAGTCTAGGCTCGAGCAATGCAAACAATTTAGATGCGAAGACATTTGATCAATATGGCCAAGGGGTATTTGAGATTCGCCAAATCCAATTAAAATCAAAAGACAAAATCATTGTGCTTTGGCGTGTGGCATAAACAATTATGACGCTTGACTGCGGCTGTGGCATGTGGCAAAAGGCAGATGGCAAATGGCAGGTTCAACAATTTATTGAAACTGAATTTGAGTTTGAATTTACCGGCGCACTTCACAACTAATTTCATTTGTGGCGACTCCTAATTGCAGTGTGCCACGTGCCACAATGGATGCAACGGCCACTGAAGCAGCTTAAGTAAATTATCATATTTGTTTTGAGACTCCAAATTAATTACTTAAATAGCTGAAATATAATTATGTGCGGAGCTTATTGAAAGCCTTTGGCGCTTATCTTTGCTCATTTGGCTAAATGTCAAACGGAAGCGAAATGTTGCATGTGCCACAAGATAATATTTAAATGGATTCTTAATGGAAACACAAACAGCTGCGTCGACGACGACGACGACGGCGACGACAGAACAGATAAGTCTGGCAATCAAAAATTGCGTCTTTCAGACAGAGACTCGCTCGATTTATGAGTCCAAGCCCCAAGACGGCTTTGCCTTTAAATACTTCACCTCAATTTGCAAGCAAATGGCAGAGACATATAAATTGAAAAAATACCCAAGTACTTACTCTACTCACTCATTGAGCACTACTTCGCTAGGCGAAACTAGAGGCGGAAAAATTGAAAAAAAAAAAATATATAAAAATTAAAAAAAAAATAGAAAGCAAATGTATTGAAAGCAAGAAAAGTTGCCTATGTACAAAGCGTAATATTAAATAATTCATTCACAACTCCCCAACTTGCCAAACTTTTGCCCCTGGGTAAAGTTTTTCTGTATTTGACTTTTGACTGCTTTTTTTTTTTTTTTTTTTTGCTGCCTTGATGATGTTGTTCTCGTTGCCAATCGTTGCTAATTGGACCAAGCTGGGCCAGAGATTGCAATAAATGGCAAGTAAATGGTCAAGAAATGGCTAAAAATCAAGCAGCTATTAAAATTCTCGAGTCCCAAAGTTAAATGGCTCATAAAGAACGAAAAAGTAGTTGAAATAAAAAGCAGTTGGTAGTAGAAAAATTGGTTGAAAGCATTATTTTAATTAGTTCCAAATTGTTAATTAAATGTTCGAGTGCTGAGTGAAGCTTGAGCTGGCACATGATCAAAAATGTGGTAAAGAAAGTAGTAGAAAAAGCCGAATTCGCAGTAAACATAAAGCAGCTAAGGTAAGTAACTGGTATTCAATGTTCTGTGAGCTTCAAAGTGAAATGAATTGGCTTAGCAAGGAAATGGTAGTAGACAAAGTAGTAGTAGTAGTAGCAAAAGAGATCAAACTTATCAAAAAACTAAAGAAGCAGGAAAAAGAAATAAAGATAAATACTTAAGTCTTTTTAAACCTTAACATAAAAAAAAACTGCTTAATACAAAAATAGTAGTAGACAAATTTGCAGCAGAAAAAAGTTAAAAGCTATATTTTAAACAGTTGTCAAATATTAATTGAATGCTTAAATATTAAACACACTCGAAATAAATTTAACTAGTTCATAAAGACAAGAAAAGGCAATTAGTAGCAGTAAAAATAGTAGTAGAAACAGTAGTTGATGTTGTGATGAGTAAATATGCCATAAATCAAACAGTTCTAGACTAACATATTTTCTAAAAACCTAAACTAACAATAGTAAAAGTTTTTGGTTTTCTAATTCCTACGGCTTGGATCATCAATCAATCAATCAGCCCGGCAGTCAATCAGTTCAAATAAACAAGTTTTATGTGCATAACAAGTAAGCATATTTATTCTGGCAAGTGTATGTATGTATATATGTAAATAGTTGGACCGCATGTAAGATTTGCATTGTTGTTAATTAATCTCATTCAAAATATTGGACCGTGTGTCGAGCACTGTACGCTTCATCAGCATCCACTGGCACACACACACATGCACAGACACACAGTATGCATGTTGATAAGTCTAACAATGCGAATGGAGGGTATGAAATGATGGGCATATGACTGCAATGGCCCACAGAACGAACGATTGATAAATACGAATGCCGACGCCGGCGTTGATGCTGGCGTCGACGCTGCCACAATAACGTATGTAGCTTATTTTTCAGATGACCAAACGAGACGACGACGACGACGATGACGGCGGCGACACAAGCAAAAAGCAAATAACAACTGCGACAGCAGCAGCGGCGGCGGAGGTGGCAGCAGAAGCGAGTAATAAAGTTGATTGCAGGCAGTACCAAGCAGCAAATTGAATATTTCTGTATGTGTGTGAATGCGTGTGCGTGTGTGTGTGTGACGGTGCCTTTGTATTTGTTCGCATTGTTAGATGTCAGCAGCAGAGACACAACCAAACGCAAGAGAGCAGCTTTGAACTCGCGCTCTCCCACGCCAAATGCGAACAGGCCATTGTTAACGGTAGCCTCAGTGTGAGGCCTCTGCCATTGGCAGACTCTCAGCGCCTGCTACCAATACACAGACTTAATGAATTTGGTTCTATCCATCCTAGCAGCAGCAGCAGCAGCAGCCAAGGGCATACGCAACCCTCGGCTCTCGCTCAATTGCTGCTGCTCTCTATGGCTGCGCTGCGCTGCGCTCTTCAGCTGTTTGCTGCTTGTTGCTTTGTTTTTGTTTTATGCAGTACGTTTTGTTGCTGCTTCTGCTGATGCTTCTACTGCTTCAGCTGCTGTTGCTGCGTCTTTTGCTGCTCTTGCCAATCTTGGGCTTTATCGATTTTCCTTTGTTTATAATGCGTGCTCAGACAAACACACAAACACACACACACGCGCACATTTGTTTGTTGTTCCCGTTGTTATTCTACGGTCGGTGCGAGCGCCCCTTTCGCTTTGTCTTGGGTTTTCGGTTTCTTGTTTATTTGCCTTTACCAAGCGAGCCCGCTGATAAGCAAAGAGGCGCGGGCGTTCTATGCATATCTCATGCAGATATGAAGAGGATTTATGGCTGGCTTGCTTAACGATCGGCTAGCTGCCTAAAATTGCAGTTGATTGACTAAGGGAACTTCTATGTAGCTGATAAGTAAGTAATAAGCTGATAATAAGCTATCATATTACTATACCATAATATTATTCTTATATTATATTATAAATATTTTATATAAGATTATAAATTATTTCCAAATTACATTAAAAATCTTTTAAATACTGTTAAATTAATATTAAGTTAAAAGAAATATTTGTATATATGTATTTTACAACAATTTTTATATAAATTTTATTAGATAACAGTTTAAATTTAATTTATTTTAGTAATTTAAATTCAATTAATATATTAGTTTACAACAGATTTCCAGACAATTTCCACGTACAATTCCAACTTAGTTTTGTTGGCTTAACTAGTTGAATAGAGTAGCTCAACAGTATCCTGTTTCACACATCAGTCTCTCCCTCAACGCCACTCTCCCTTTCTCGCTCACTCACTTTAGTGGATAGCACACGTTGCTAGGTTTATTGGCAACAGCTCACAGCAAAAGTTCACCCAATTGTTTACATCAGCAGAATGTTGAGCAAAAAGCATCCTCTCAGCATTAGCAACAGCCGCAGCAGCAGCAACAACAACAAAATAAGAGAGAGAACGCAGCCCCCAAAAACAACGCGTGGGTCTCTCGTGCTCTCTTCGCTTGTTGCTCTCGCTCACTCCGCCTCTGTCTGTTGGTCGCACGCTCTCTCGCTCTCGCCGTTTGTTTCATACTGCATACACAAACAAAAACATTAGCAGAGCGCAGCGGGCAGAACGTCGCTCTCTATGTGGCTTACGTGCGCTCAGCAGCGGCTGCTGCGCCGCCAATTTGCAAGAAAATTTAAGTTCGTTTACAGTTGGTTTTGTGGGGCAAGTTGTGAAAAACAGCGACGCACAGCAGCTGCTGCTGCCAAGAAGCGTTGGCAACAAAGCGTTGGGCTGTCGAACAGACACACCGACACACACACACGAAGGCACACAGCCAGATACAAATGTACAAATATAATAAACAATTTAAATTAATAATATACGAATATCAATTGAGCTTGCAATTGTGCTGCTGTGCGTGTGTGTGAATGTGTGTGAGTGCGTGTGAGTGTAGCTGTTGTTGTTGTTGCTGTTGTAGCAGTTGTTGCTCTCGCTGCGTCCGCCCGCTTATTTGTGTATACACACTCACACACACACACAGCCATACACACGCGCTTAGTGCAGCTGTGTTTGTGAATTTTGTGGTACATTTTGCGCTCGCATCGTTTACAGATTTTTGTGGTGGCAAATAGTTGTTGCATAGCCTTCATACAACACACAGCAACAATTACTAACACTGCGACAAGTGGCAGCAAACGAGCTAACGACCGAGCACAGCCAGCAACAACAGCAATAAAAGCAACAACAAGCAACGTTTTGTTAATTGAAATAAATTGAAATAAATTCTCGACGTGCTGCTCAAATTGTTAATAAACACAATAACAACAACAGCAATAACAACAACAAACAAATAAACAACTCAGAAAATTGTGAACTAAGAAAAAGTTGTTTTTAGTCGCTTACGAGGCGCCAAATGTTTTAGTATAAAATTGATATATATAAAAATAAAAAATAAACAAAAATACAATAAAACACAAAGCAAAATCATAAGAGATTCAACAAATTAAACTCGTGCAAGTGCGTACACAAATTGTTTTAATTATATCAATTATAATTTATACTCTTTTCGTTGTTGTTGTTGTTGGTATCAGCAAGTCGGCAAATCTTTTGCGTATTTATAGCCTTTCTGCGGGTGTACATGTATTTATATGTGTGTGTAATTGTGTGTGAGCACTGCAGCACACAATTGAAAATTAGTTGAGACGAGAAATTGGCAAAAAACAAAAGCTAAAAGAAAACGCATCACAAATTCAAAGCTAAAGAGGCGACAAAACTTCTGACGTAAGCTGAAAAGAGACAACGCAATCAGCAGAGCAGGCAACAAACAGGTAGAGAGGGAGCGAGAGAGAGGGAGAGAGAGTGTGCGTGTGACAAGGGCAAATCTGCTTGAAGGATTGGTAAGACGTAGTTTCTCTAAATAAGCTGTATATCTATAGATCACCAAATTTCCTATTGTTTTTCTTTGTCCCAATAATTCCGCCCATATATAAAAACACATTTTATGAAATATAGATGTCTATATATAAACAAAGTATTCAGTAGCTAAAATGATCTGATTATTCAATCAATCAAATATGTACCCAATCAATTATCTTCAATAGCTATTCATGTAAATCAATTTCTATGTATAAGATTCGTATGTATGATTCAATCACATTTAACATTTTATCTATCGTTTATAATTTATCTAACAACCCAGTCGATCGATCAGCCCAATCAATCAAAATTATCATTTCAGGTACTCTTCACCTATCTAATTATGATTTCTAATGAAAATTTCACATTTAACGCATAACAATTGCTCATCAGATCTGCAAACGATACACAACTTGCTGTATATGTAGCGCATGTATCCACGTACATACATATACATATATGTATAGTATATATGTACATATGTACCTGCACATTCTCGACCACAACGCTTCAATTCTGGGAATGCGAAGCCAGAACGTTGCAAATGTTTATTTTATGCGATTTTTTGTTTGGTTAACTTTTAATTGTACTTTGTTTGAGGGAAGTACTTAGATATCTATATAATATACAGACATATATAAATTTATATATACATATGCGTGCATATGTTTATAAAATAATATGGATTCCTGCTCATCATGTTCAACTGAATTCAAAAATCACATGCCGTTCCCATTAGCTTTACAAATCGGCAAATCGGAATTATTGTTGCAGTTCACTTAGATATGTTTTGTTGCTTTATAAACATGTTTAAGATCTTTTTGGCATAACATTTCATTCTATCTTTTTTCGGTATTTTTAGTAGACTTTTTTATATATGGACATATTAATATTTATATACAAATTATTAAAAAAGAAAGTAATAATAATGTTATTAAAAAATGTTCTCTAATGTTCTGTTTCTCATATTTAAATTTAAGATTGATTAAAATTAAATTCATCTAATTTCTAACAAAATATATGTTAAAAGGCTTTAAAGTGTTAACTAAGTAAAGAAAACTCTATATCTAATGTGACTCCTCAATCGAATCCTGCAGTTATTAATTATTATAGTGCATATTTCTTCCCCTTCCCCATATTAATTTGATATTGATTTTTAAACTGCTTTGCATAGTTACAGCAGTTGATTAGACTTCCTTTGCTTCCTCTTCCCACCTTTTATGCTTTACAATTGCATTTGCATTTCTCGCATTTCTCTGACAAAAATCCCCAACCTATCTATGCAGCTCCACTCAGTTCATTGAACTCGGAGCTCAGAAACAATGTTCAAATCGCAAGTCAAACTCAAACCCTTAAATATGAAGTGTCCGAAACGTTGCATACTTTTCGGCCAGTTGGCCATCAAGGCAATAAACAGGCAACAAATTATATTAACGATTTTCTCACTTCACGCAGCTTGCGCAGCATCTCGAAGCGACCAAAGGACGCACACGCACACGTGTGTGTGAGTGTCATGCGCAGTGGACACTTTGGTAATGCCAACAAAAGAGGCCGCAGCAACAACAAAAAGCTAAGAGACTCTTAAGAGAACGACAGAGTAAGTGTGTGAGAGAGAGAGAGAGAAAGACAAAGAGTTAGCTACTGAGATGGCATTCTCGCGTCACAACATCGAAAAGCGCCGACTCATCGAGCTAGTTCGGCTCAATCCCATCCTGTGGGACTGCCGTCTGCCGCACTACAAGCGCTCCGACAAGAAGAAGGCCGTCAAATGGAACGAACTGGGTCGCATGTTCAACGTGAATGGCGAGCGAGTGCAGCGCACCTTCACCTCCCTCAGGGAGATCTTTCGACGCGAGCTCAATCACGAGAAAATGCTGGGCACAACGCGCTTCAAGTCCAAGTGGGAGTACTACGATGCCATGGCCTTTCTCAAAGAGGTCATCAGGGAGCGAAAGTGAGTACAAAAAAGGGGGAGGGGATGGTGCAAGGGAGAGACATATTTATAGGTGAATAGGAGACATTAAATGGGAATAAACGTCTAAAATATTTATTGGCTAATTTAAAATACAACTCTTTATATGTGGTTTAATAAGAAGAAGAATATGAATATTTATTTTTAAATTTTTAATAAACGTTATATTAAGAGTTGTATTTCAAATTAAAAGAGAATAAATATTTGGCCCTTATGTTTAATTTTTTTAATTCACCTATAAATATTTCTAAATATATTTTAATTTATTTATTTCGAATTATTTTTTAAATAATTTGTTTCTTATATATATCTATGTCAATATGTATTAACTGTTTCTTTTACATTTTAATAAAACTTAAAAAAATATATATATAATTTACAAAAAATTTAAATGTACAAAAAATGTCTAATATTCATCTTAAATATTTAACTAAAATAATGACATTAAAATTTACATCAATTTTCTGCTTCTCAGATCTCGTGAACGCATTAAGCATCCTGTTGCAGAGGCTACTACCCACAACAACAACAACAACAACAATAGCACAAATAGCAACAATAACAACAACAACATTAACACAAATATCAACAGCAACAACAACAGTAACAGCAATAGCAACAGCAACAACAACATCAACAACACAAACAACAACAACAACAGCGTAGCCCATGATGAATATCAATATTTTGCGCCCAGCGATCCAAACAATCCCAACAATCAGCCAATTAAATCACCTGCAATCCAGCCCAGCATTAGCCAGCTGCCTGCGGCACTGCAGCAGCAGGCGCAGCATTTGCAGGCGCTGCAGCTGCAGCCGGACGTGACCCTCACCTCGTTGCAGAAGGCACCCTCAGCTGTTGTGCTGCCTCTGGCGGTGGCAGCCGCGCCCTGCCCCACGTCCACGCCCACGCCCACACCCACAGCGGCTGCACCTGTGCAACTGTGTGGCAGTTCGCGCTCCTGCAGCAGCTCACCTTCGATTTACATCAAGGACGAGCCGGAGTCGCCGGACTTGGAGGAGCAGCCCGATGAGCTGGCAGCCAGTCGATCGGCCCAGAAGACGCAGGCACATTCGAAATTGGCCACAATTCGACCGCAGACAAAGCAACAGCTCAAAGCTCGCCTGCAGGTGGCCAAAAGTGGGCTGTATGCCACGCCTCCGCCGCATTTGATCATCAATACGAATAACGAGCTGATCGATGTGGATGCTGGTGATCTGGACGATGATGACGATGACCTGGAGTACGATGATGACGATGACGATGATGACCTAGATGGTAATCATCGCGGCGCTTGTCCGCCCAATGCGAACATGAATGTGCTCGGTGCAGGGGGCCGTCTCTCACCTGGCAGCAGCTACACAGGTGCCGGCGCTGCCAGCACACGTCATCAGCCCACGCACCGTGAGCTGCTCTATATCAAATTTGGCGATTTTCTTGCCGCACGACTGAATACCCTGCACGAAACTGTGGCCAACGAGCTGATGAACAAGATTTTACTGCTAATTGCTGAAAAGTGAATGCGAAGACTGGATCAAGAGGACCAGCAACTGGTCAAGTGGAAGGAGAAATCATAGCCGTGCTAAATAGGTAAGTGAACAAAAGTAGAGATTGTGAGAATAATCTAGAGAAAACTTAGAAAAATGCAAAGTGGATTAAAGCTCGCATTGTGCCTTGGTAACGTCGAAAGCTTTATCAAAGTTCTTATAGAGAAACTTTTGAGGAACTTTGTTTTATGAGTGCATTGAAGAATTAATACATAAATAATTTTTTTTTTAATACTTTAAAGATGTGTTTGTGTGCATTGAAAATATGCATTGTTAAGTTCTGTTTAACTTATTTAAATATAGGTTTGATAGAATTATAAAGTGCCATTAAAATACTGGGCAGATCCTAGCTAGCTGCTATGATTGAGAGCTGTCCTGTTAAAGTGCTTTATATATAATTTATAAATTAAACTGTTGATGAAAACATTTCTATGCAAATTTTATTATATTCATTTTTATATATATACATAGTATTTTTTATAGTATTTTTAAATAATATATTATTAAAATTATTTAATAATTTAATTTTTATAAGAACATTTCTTATTTAAATGTTAATATATTAAAAAAATTTAGTAGTAACATCTTTAATAATTGTTAAATATATTCTACACCCAAGTTGTAATCGCGCAAAGTTTTAACAGTTCTAACAGTTCATGTGACAAATGACTTTTTACATTGTTCGCGTTTTATAATTCCTTTTCTCGCTTAATCATTTAACGCTCAAATCCTGGACTTTTGCGGATTACTTTCAACTAACATTTGTTGGCCCAGACAAAAAAGAAATCGCTGTAAAAACTAGTTAAGTTCTACAAAATTTATTAGTTTGACCAATTTGTGTGGTCGCCACTTGACTTCACTGCAACTTGCAACAATATATTTAAATTTATATATAAACTATGCCAAGACCATAAAAAAGTTTTAATTTCCGAATGCTGAAGTGGCCCAGACACAGAGAGAGATAGAGAGAGAGAGACAGAGAGAGAGTGTAAGAGGAGCTCCACATGCCACATATTCGCGTTGCGAGTTGTCCGAAAATGTAAAAGCTTTCACGCATAAATAAAAAACGCAGCCCCAGGCTATGCAGCATGCCAAGTGACTGAAAGCCAATAGCTACCAAGTCGTACAATGACCGAGGCAATATAGCTATGTATGTGTATATATAACAGGCCTCTAGTCGGGAGTGCCAGACTGACAAATAGTCTTCACGCTGTGACCAGCTGCAATATGTTAAAGAAGCAAAAATCTTCGGGCTATATTTATAATATAAAACAATTAAAACTGAAATTTTATTGCAATTAATTATTAATTTATTAATTATTATGATTCTCAAAAAATTTGATCTCATATCAATTGCAATATGTTGTTACATTATTATATAATACGTTATCATCAACGTCATTTCAAATAGTCTTAATGATCATATAGATGATGATTATTTTATTTATGACAGTTCATTTCATATTCCCAATAAACATTAACACATTGATCAATGTTATACTGACTATTTACACAGTTATTTATATTTAGCACAGTGATCATAAACATAATGATCATTATCTTATAACAATAATTACTACAATAATTATTTAATAATCAATGATCTTTAAAGTATAAATATAATAATTACAAAGGCAGCTTATTCTATGCTTAATATTATTAACTAATATACAACTACAAATACACAATCCGAAGAATGATGAAGAAAATGAGGCGGAGGAGGAGGTGGAGCATCACTTCACTGCACTGAGTGAGAAGGCCCTACGACTGAAGCTGAGCTGCTGCAGGCTCGTCTTTTTATAGGGCCGACCTCTCCCAAAGAAGTTCGATCTCAACTGCTGAAACTTTCTCTGAGTTGCCTCTCTGCTCGATCATGAAACGACAAGTTGGAGTTTAATTATGTTGTTTGAAGCATTCTCAATTACTTGCTTAGTGGATGATATGTTCTCTCTCTCTCTCTCTCTCTCTCTCTCTCTCTCTGTATCTCTCTATGTACATATATAGCTATGTATTTATCTAAATCTCCTATCCATATGTTAATTGTATATTTTATAAAGTCCCTATATACATCGATCTCTCTCCCGCCCCATCTCCCTCTCTCTCTTTGTCTCTATCCATATATTATACGCTCGTTAGCATAATAAACTTTTTTTTGCGCAGTTTTTTTGAATCAAAGTTCCGCTACTGTTCGCCCTATCAGCGACTCGCTGCATTTCATATAACGATAATTTATGGCAAATTTATAATGTTGTGAGTGCCAACAAACTTGCTGAAACTATCTATAAAAGGCCACACACATACAGTCTTACACAAACACACACTTAAGCCACCCACTGTGCCGCTGCCCAGAATTAAGGCTGAGCTCGTAAAGCTGTTGCCATAGATACCAGATAGCAATGACTGCGGCAGTGGATGGGAGAGCTAAAGGGAAGCTACTGAGAGTTGACGGAAAAGCCACATCGACACAGACACACACACACACGCGTAGAGACAGCAGAAGCGTCACAGCATAAATATTACAAAATCGTAAATACACACGCCCAAAACTTGTGAGACTACAGTGTGTCTGTGTGTGTGTATATGTAAACTATGTATGTGTGTGTTGTGTGAAGTCATTCGCACAGCAGCAGCTACACTTGACTCATAGATCTTGCGGCTCACACAGCTTTCAGGCCTGCCAAACTGAGGTTTGCTGGGGAAATATAGCTGCTATAGTTTATAAGCTAAAGCTGAAAATAATATATTATATACATAATATATACAAGCACGTATATATAACGAGAAATGCACAGACAATTCAAAGATTGCCTGAAGAAGAATAATAAAATAAATATTTAATAAAGCAAAAAACGAAAAATATAAATAATTAAATAAGACTGTCTCTTTTTATTATACGATATAAATATAATCCAAGTACATTTTGCTTGACTGACCTAATATGTCCATTGGTTCTATAATATGATATACACTCCCTCATATTATATATTATTCCATATCTTCCATTCAGTCCCTTTAGTTTTGCTCATATATATTTCGGCAATATATTTCAAATATATTTCGACTTTCTTCCATTCAGTTTCTTCGGAACTGCCAGTAATTTAGAGTAGTTGCAACACTTCCTGCTGCTCATAAGATATTTTCAACATTTTCCTGTGTTTAGTGGCAGTCCGAAAAGAAATGAAATCACAGTTGGCTACAATATCTAAGGCGTTAGATAAACGCGTCCGTCCCGTTTGGCTCTGAGGCTCTGAGGCTGTGAAGCTGCGAATGGGGCGCGCTTAAGTTAGGAAATTTTGTTGCAATGCCCGCGGCGTTTAGCCCTTTGCACATAAAATTGCATATGCAACTTAATGTTTACACTGGTCGTAAAAGTTTAATGGATTTTCTAGCTGCTGCGAGCAGAGCGAAGCAGTCAAACATTGTGCCCCCCTCCCACTAGCCTGCCCGCTTGCGCAGCCTAAACTTTTGTAGCCATCATAAAAATGCATTTCTCTGATTAATACGTTGCATAAACAAAAATTTTTTTTGTTTGACTAAAGCATTGTCAAATATTTGAGAAAATCAGAAATGAATTATTTATGCATATCATTTTTCATTTATTTAATAATTTTGCTTCGACTTTAGAGAGCTTTTCCGTTTGCCTGCATTTCTAACTGAGCTCAATTCCTACATCAATAGGATATATATAAATTGGCAATGTTTGTGGCAAACAGATATTAATTCGAATTCATTACATAGAAAATATCTAAATAGCCGGCTTGGCTCTTGCCTTTGGCTAATCAAATGCAAATTTGTATACATTCATTATTGAATGGGAATGCAACGAGCTAGTGAATAGCATGCATTAGCATTAGCATAATTATAATTGTGGGCTGGGCAACAAAAACCTGGCCAATACCATAATCCAAGAGCTAAGAGATAAGAGACAGGCAGCATGACCAGCATGCAACACGATGCAGATAGATAATTGAATGCCGACAAGCGATTGGATTTTGAGGCAACACAAAAGGCTGCTTGCCACGAGTGGTATCAATATTGACAGCCATTAATATGGCCAAGTTATACAATAAGCAGTCAATGTCAGCTCTTGGGTTATTCATGACGCACACACATACACACACACTCACAGAGATCGAGTACTCTAAGGACGATTGCATTTTTAATGAGCAGGAGGCGCCTTCGATACGCTTCCGCTGCTGGCTGATGACTGGGAAATGCTTCCGCCTGCGTTTGGGAAATTTGACAGCATACGTAAAGCAGCGGCTGGTATCAGGTTAATTTGAGACGCAGCCACAGGGAAAAGCCAACGGAAAGGCAGCGGAAACTTACACACACACACACACACCCACACACACACACTCTGCATTGAACTGTCTTTGGCTACGTCGGCGTCGTCAGCTCCTTCAGCCTTAATGGCCGCAGGACATGTCAAAAGAATTGATGACGTGCAACGTCTTCGACGTGCGCTGCAATCATAAAACTGGCAACAGTCGCTCCTCCCAAGACACTACCCCACACTGTCCCAACCCATGGCCCACCTAACCTGAATTCGCTTTTTCTGAAGAAATATCTACTGCCAATAAAATCGTTTTAGAAATGGATTTGTCAGCTTCTCTGGCAACGATTAATTTAAGTTACCAATTCTAAATGACGCTGGCTGAAAGTGAGACTTCACATAAAAAAGCAGTGTTGTATAGCGTCTTAAAATAAGCTCTATTTTACTTTTACTGCGTCTCTACTTTGTGGTGGCACGGATTGACAGATATTTCTTTAGTATATTCGTGTTGAATGTCTTTAAAGCTTTTGTCAACTTTGATTAAATTACTTTTTTGTTTTAGTTTGAACTAGCACTACAAAGCTTTCAACTTGAAAAGCACATTAGTTGACATTGTGCTCAAAGCTCTAACTTTCATGAGCTTTCCTTCTTTAAGCTCTGAAGTAAACTTAACAATTGTTCGCCTTACCAACCTAACTATTTATTTACTAATCTTTCTAGCAGTTTTTTCGTTAAGTTATTTGTTTCTTAGATCTCGAGAAGTTTGT